CCATGCTATCCTTAATTTGTTATGATCTATGCAGTTGAATGCTTTGGCAAAGTCACTAAGTCACAGGTAAACATTTTCGCAGTATTTTCGGCTTCTAGCCGAGACCCATCAGACATCAGCAGTGGTAGCTCTGTGCCACATCAGCCACCAAACTGAGAGATGAGTTATGAGAAGGCGGCAATGTTGCTGTAGGGTTTGCCTTAAATCGATCTCTTCTAAGATAGAGAAAAAGTGAATTTGTTATAAGGAAGCAAGCACAGTTGGAGAAAAGGAAGTGGTCAGGCCACAGGGGATCTCCAAAAATTAAGTTAAAAGAGAGAGAAAAAGCACACACTGTGCAGTTTTCCCTGTGTACATTTTTTCTCTTTTAACTTTATAAAAGTTCTTAATCTAGTAAGGCTATCAAAACGTCCTCTTGTAGACAGGCAGTCCCCCAGATTACATATGAATTCCACTCTTAAATCTACCTTTAAGTTAAATATGTATATAAGTCAAAACAGCTTGGTAAAGTTCGTATCTAATGCAGTCAAACATTTGTCTGAGTATATAAATACCTTTCAGTGAATTAAAAAGAAACAGTTCTACATACATGAAAATACCTTTAACATAATAGAGCAGTAAAAACGATATTTTGACGTGTTACACAGTAGCAACTGTTTATTACTCCGAACATTGCATAGCTGTGAATTTTCAATACCTGACTCCTTAAAAGGGCCGGTTCTTAACTACTGGTTCCACATAAGCTGGGGACTCACTGCCTGTATGTTGCAAATGTTTTCTTCATTTGTCTTGTTTACATTGTCTCTTGAACATTTTAACCTGCAGAAGAGTTCTACGTTTATATCGTTCAAACCTATCATTTCTCGTTTAATGTTTTCAGACCTGAATGCTACACTTTAAATAGCCCTTCTCCAGTGCAAGACTAGATAGTCAGTACCATTTATTTACTGTTGATTTTTTCCCCTTAATTTTCTAACCCTGTATCTTGGATCAGATATGGGCATTTGCATTACAAAAATAAATGAACAAGTTTATTTTAAATTTGCCATAATTTTACCATGTTAACAAACTGTTTTTGTGTGTTCTGATCTTTGTCCATTTGGTAAAAAATACATCTTCCCTCCAATGAGCATATTACGATAAGTGCTTTACAAGCATCTCTTCAAACATGAGAGTTACATATTGAACTTCTATTTTACACTGAAGAGCTCCCTGGGGAGGAAAGTTTAAGCATTTGTCATGATCATTTTGTTCTGAGCAAGAGTCGGAAAACTTTTGAGATGGAAGAGCCAATCCTGTCCCTCACAACAAGTTAAAAATGATTTGAGATCCATAAATATATGTTTACAAATGACATCGCCATGATCCGAATAATATCCTTTAAATGTTTCAATCTTACTTCAGAGCCACATATATGCACGGAGAGCCACATATGGCCCACGAGCCACAGTTTGGCAACCCCAGTCTAGAGCATAAGTTCCCCAAAACCTCAACACAATGAAAAAGTCGTAACTATCGCCCATAATTCAGGATAAAGGCTAGGTATCTGCTTTTGCAGCCCCCTGGGATCATTCCTAAACATTGAGCTGCTAACTACAAAGTTGGCAGTCCAAAACCACAGCCACTCCATGGGAGAAAAACAGGCTTTCTACTCCCAAAGAGTTAGTCTCAGAAGCCCACAGGGGAAGTTCTACCCTGTCAGGGAAGGTCCCCGTGAGTGGGAATCAACTCGATGGCAGTGAGATTGGGTGTGTCCTTTTTCAGGGATATTTTCCTTCTGTGAATAAGCCTAACATGATGAGATGCTCGTCATCCCTGCATCTAAGGAGCATTCTTCCAAGATACACTTGGCTTTACTTCTTCCGAGATAGATTTGTTCATTCTTCTGGCAGTCCGCAGTAGATTCCACCAATTCCCTTAATTCAAATGCATCCATTTTTCTTTGGTCGTTCTTATCCACTGTCCAACATTCACAAGCATAGAGGTGAATGAAAATACCTTGGTTCGGGTCAGGCACACCTTAACCTTAAAAGTTTCATCTTGGACTTTTAAGACTTTAAAGAGGTCTTTGGCAGATTTGCCCAGTGTAGCATGCCACCTGATTTCTGCTGCTTCCATGGATGCTCATTGTGAATCTAGGGAAAATGAGATCTTGTCAATTTCATTATTTTCTCCATTTATCATGACCTTGCTTATCGGTCCAGTTGTGAGGATTTTTGTTCCCTAGATGCTGTCATTTTTACATCTTCATCAGCGAGGTGTTTCAAGTCCTCTTCACTTTCAGCAAGTCAGGTTGTGTCATCCGCATATTGCAGGCTGGAATAACAGATGAGGTGGGACTCAAAGATAGGTGTGTAAGTTGTATGTCATCCAGGAGATTCTGGCTCAGAGCAAAACCCATCAAACTGAGAAGAACTACTCTAGAGGGTTTCCGATCTGTAATTTCTACTAAAACAAACCATCGGGTCTTTTGACCCACGGAACCATGTGAGTTAGAACTCCCAATCTTTCAGTTAAAAGTTGAGTGCTTAGCCAGTGCACCACCAGGGCTCCTTGGTATATAGGAGGGGACTTCAGAAAGTTTGGGGAAAATGGAATCAAAAGATCATGGAATTTGTCCATACATTTTTGAATCCCCCTCATATTTGGAAGCTCTAGTGACAAAGTGCTAACCAGAAGGTCAGCAATTTGAACCCACAGGCCCTCTGAAAGAGAAAGATGTGGCCGTTTGCTTCTGTGAAGATTTACAACCTTGGAAATCCTCTGGGGCAATTAGACTGTCCTTTGGGCTGCTATGAGCTGGAATCAACTTGGTGGCAACAGGCTAGGTATGCATATACTTTTCCTGCTTTTCTTCTGGAGAACCCAGACTAATACAGGTTCTACTGATGTTGCACAGCCCCTCTAACTTCATAAGATTAGATTTTAAGCCTTCTAAAGACCTATTTCCTTTATAGTCTAAATGACCAGGGTGGGAATCTTCTAGTATAATCCTTTTATTTCAATTATAGGGGGAAACAATGACTCAGGCACTGTGGTAGTTACATAATTTCAAGTCAACTTGTTAAATAGGCTATAGGGGTGGAGCCTCGTCTGTCAATCCAGTCATAGCCAATGAGGCTTCTGTGTGGGCATGGCCTTCTCCTCAGGATTCTGGGATCTCCTTTCTCCCTGGAGGTGGGACACAAAGTCTCTTTCTGCTTGGTCTTCCTGCTGACAAGCCACATGGAGCAATGCTGATGGAACCAGAATCCTGAAACTGGAGGAGCCACGTGGTGACCCACGCCAGTGCTGAGATGCTTCCACTGCCACTGGATCCACAAGACTTTCTGCCCACTGGCCTGTGATCTTCCTGCATTCAGCATCATTGCATGTGTTGCATGAGTCTGAAGAAGAATTTATAGACTGGTAATGGGACATATGGCTAATATTGGACTTATAGAATTGAACTGGACTGGGCTGGGATATTTTCTTAATATACAATTACCCTTTGATATAAAGTTCTATTTTATACACATATGAATGTCTATGAATTTGTTTCTTTAGTCAACCCAACTAACATAGGCACTAAAGGATTTGGTTTTGTTCACCTGCTGGTCCCACCAGAGCAAAGATTAGATTTTAAAGCCTTGTATAATGTCCCAGTGAAATGCTCTTTTAAATTCTGGCTAATCATTTAATCTACCCACCCACATACCATTCTAGTTCTTTGTATTGGCCATATAACTATGTCCATTGTACTTTCGCTATGTTAGTATCTTTCCCATAGCATCCACCACAGGACATTTCATATGCAAATTGTTTCATTGTATAAGTTAATCAGTGATTAATTTGCTGCCTCCAGATTTAATATTTGCTGTGATGATTCTGGACTCACAGCTACCCTGTAGGGCAAAGTAGAACTGCCCCAGGGGGGTGCCAAAATGTAATCCATATGGATTGCCACATCTTTCTCTGACAGAGCAGCTAGGGGCTTCCCATTGCCCACCATTTTGTAAACAGCTGTGTAATTAACAGTGAGACCAACAGAGCTCCTGGCAAATGCATACTCATGAGCCATGGTCGCCAATGGTTAGGTGCTCACAAAGATTGACTTTTCAAACATACCAGCAGCCCTGTGAGCGGAAAGATGTAGCGATCCGCTTCTGTAAAGAAGATTGGCTAGGAAATCCTATGGCGCCATTCTCGTCTATCCTAAAGGGTTGATAAGAGTCAAAACAGACTCCATAGCATGGGTTTTATGGGTAATTTGGATCTATCCGTTAACTCTTTTCAGAAATGCATAATTAACTGCCACTCCATGGCAAATCCTGATGCTTCCGGGTAAAACTGTGCTCCGGAGAGTTTGCAAATGGCTGCTTATTTTCACGTAGACAACCAGACCTTTCTTCCACGATGCCTCTGGGTGGCCTGGAACTTCCATTCTTTCAGTTAGCAGCCCGACAACAATCACAGAAATTGGATCATACACAAATCTGATTAGGACTTTCTGAATCATCAGTCCTGAAGGAAATGAGGGAAGGAAGCTGCAGACAGAAATACAATGAGTGAATGAATGAATGAACGAACGAACGAACAGTAGCTGGTGGCGGTGTACAGGGCTTGTTTTAAAAAATGTCCTCTACGAGAAGCTTCTCTCCCATCGTCAGCTTCTTTCTTTCTACTAGATATGTTGTACGGACCAAAAAAACCCACACAAAGTACCCCGGGATGAGGGTTGAGAGGTCCACAGGAAGAGGAGGCAGGACATGCCAGCACGTGTCCGATCAGAGTTCACTTTGGCGCGTGCTCTGTACCAACAAGACAGAAATGTTTTCGCTCCATCCTTCCTTCCCCAAGAGCTACTGCGAGAATGGACTGACATCAATTTCCTGGCAGTCCACCCAGCCGGGTACCCAGAGAAGTTGCGCGCCATCGCGATTCGGGGACAAGACAGCGCGCCTGGAGCTTTTGCTCCGGTGCGTGAGTCCGGAGAAAGTCCCACCGCCCAGGCTCCTCACCATGTGCATCGCAGCCTCCATCCACTTCTCCGTTTCCCCCTCCGACCCGGCGCACGCCGCCTTCACCTCCATGCCCGACCCGCTGCTCTCCAGTCCCGAGGCCGAGGCAGGTGGACTGCCGGCGGCGGAACCGAGTGGACGCGGCCGCGGTTTCCGGAGGGACCGGACGGCGCGGCGCCCGGGAGCCAATTCGGAACGGACGTGCGCGCTCCGAGCGTGGGAGCGGCGGCGGCGGCGGCGCGCACGGCGCAGCTGCTCGCCTGAACTACACGCCCCCTGCCCGCTCGGGTGACCAGCGCTCCCGATCGTCGCGCTTGAGGCCGCCGGCGAGCACGCACCGGACCCGCCCGGCCTAGGAACGGAGGAACGGTTTCCCGGCGAAGCATCCCCAGCCCCCAGGACACTCGCAGGCCCGGGGCCTGAAGATGCTGAGCTCGACGTGGAATTTCCTGAAACGTCACAAAAAGAAATGCATTTTCCTGGGCACAGTCCTCGGAGGTAGGTGACAGCTTGCGTGGAAGGCGGGCATTGGTAGAGGGTGAGGGGAGAGGTGTCGTTTCCTTTTAAATTTAAGAGAACCTGGGCCACCCTAGTCAGTCCATGGGTCTTTGCCCATCGGGTGGGGAGCAGGGTGACTGACCTCCAAGGTTCTTTCCTTCCCTCCAAGTGTGAACTTTCTCTGTGCCCTCTGATCCCTCCCTGCTCCTTACTCTTGTTCTTCCGCTTCTCCTTTCTTTGAGGGACTTTGAGGAAAACCACTGCAGTTAAGTTTCTGTGCCAAGACACGTTTGTTGTTGTTCTTTTGTTTTGGACCATTTCATTGTGGTTTGCATGAAAACTGGACACATGTGTGATTGTCTTTTAATGTTCACTTTTGCTCTCTTGAGAAGGAGCCCTGGTAGGTTAGTGGTTACGCAGTGGGCTGCTAACCTCAACGTCAGAAGTTTGAAACCACCAGCCGCTCGAAGGGAGAAAGATGAGGCTTTCTATTCCAGCAAAGTTACAGGGGCCGTTCTCTGCTGTCCTGTGAGATCACTGTCAGTCGGAATCGACTCCACGGCAGTGAGTAGTGGAGTTGTTTTCCTGAAAGGGTCTTCACCTCTTTTGGGCACTTTCAGAACTTTGTATATTTAAATACATTAAGTAGCTTTGAGGGGAGCCCGCCAGCCGCTGCTAACAAAAGGTTACTCTCTACCAACCCACAAGGTCCCCCGAGGGAGAAAGCTGTAGCAGTCGGCTTCTGTAAAGATTGCAAAAACTCTAGGACGGTATGAGCCAGAATCTCTGGATGGCAATGGCTTTGACCCTTCACAAGAGTTGCTTCCGATTCTAGTGGAGTTTCTTATGCCTACATTTTAAGTGATCCTTAAAGTGGACTTGGGTTTTTAAAAACCACTCAGTTGTGTACTGAGGGTCTAGAAGATTTTGCAGTACACAGAGACGAAGAAATCAATACTTTAGCTTTTTCTCCCACTCTAGACTACAAATTATGTTAAGAAAATGCTTGAGAGATATGCCGTCTTGGTCAGGATATTCACAGATGGGATAAGTGCCCATCCGGCTGACTTAGCATGATTGAGAGAGTATTTAGAAGTAAATAAGATAAAGATGGAGAAACACATTTTTTCTTCATACATGCGCATGTCATAATATGCAGATTTGAAGGAGCGAACAAGAAGCCTTGTGAATCAAGACAAGAAGCAAATTGAAAGGCATTTAGCTAGCAAAATGGACTTTTTAGAACTTGAGTTTTTAAGAACTAGTTGAATCACTCATTACAAGTACATGCTTTGGCCACAGAAATGCTTAGCAATAAAAATAGACGTCTCTCAAATCTTTTGGTTGATTTTCTCTTAATATTAGATTCTAAAACAGAACAATCCCACTTAGGTCAAGTCAATCCTGAATTAGAGTAACCCTAGAAGATAAAGGTTTCCAAACTTATTTGATGTACTACCCCTTTTAAGAAAATAAAATTACTCAATGCCCTCGCCTCCACCCCACCCCAAACCCCACCCTGTCCCAGCAATTTAAAACTTTTGTACCACAGTCCCTAATTCAGCCCCACCTCCCCCTCAGGGGACAGACAGTATCTCGCACTTTGGGAAACATGCTATAGGTCATAGTAGAATTGCTTCCTGGAATGTCCAAGGCTCCAAATCGTTACACAAGGCAAAAACCTCCGGTTTCGCCTAAGGCAGCAGTTCTCAACCTGTGAGTCGTGACCCCTTTGGGGGCCGAATGACCCTTTCGCAGTGGTTGTCTAAGACCATCGGAAAACACATATTTCTGCTGGTCTTAGGAACCAAGACACCACTCCTCTGTCCTTCCCCAGGCGGGCCCCCCCACCTGCAGATACGCCCATATAGGACTACCTGGGCGTGAAGACTGTTACCCATGCTATACCATGCTTAAAGAAAACATTTCATTTATTTGTAATTAAAAATAAATATTTCACAATATATAATGACATTCTTGTGATTAATCACTATGCTTTAATTATGTTCAATTTGTAACAATGAAAATACATCCTGTATGTCAGATATTTACATGACAATTCATAACAGTAGCAAAATTATAGTTATGAAGTAGCAACGAAAATAATTTTATGGTTGGGGTTACCACGACATGAAGAACTGTATTAAAGGGTCACGACGTGAGGAAGGTTGAGAACCACTGTCCTAAGGAGCAGCTTGTGGGTTCAAATTGCTGACCTTTTGCTTTGTAGGCCAATACTTAACCAACCACACCACTGCCCCCAATTTCTAATTGACAATGCTTTTAACATCAATAATTCAGATTTGTTCTAAAAATTGATTGTGCTAATGATTGTACACCTCTTCTTGATATGATTGAACTATTGAAATGTATGACATTTGGATTATGTCCCAATAAACTGTTTATAAATAACCAAATATGCTGCAGTCAGGTAAAAAAAAAACCTGAGTTGATTCTTTTTGTCATCTTAAGCATTTAAAACAGGTGCCTTACTGATCAGGAAAGGATAGCCTCAGGTCGATCACAAATCAAAATTGAATATATACATTGTTTTTACTTAATTTTTTGTAAACTACTGTATAGATAAATGCATCTTCTGATAACCTCAGCCTCTGATATCTAATGTATATTTACATTGGGCTGAGAATACTGAATCCTTTTGATGGGTAGAGGCTCATGATATGTACTACCACTCATCTGCCAGGCTGTCACACTGTGGGGACATGTGTGCGCGCTATGAGGCTGGAAGCTATGCCATCTGTACTTTAACTAACAGCCGTGTCCCACAGGGAGCACAGATTTCAGGGGAGCTTCCAGATTAAGACTAGGAAGAAGGAACACCGAGTGCTTCTGAAAAATTAGCCACTGAAAACCTTATGAATAGCAATAGTGTTGGAAGATGAGCCCCTCCGATTGGAAGCTCACAGTGGCTGCAACAATGGCTGGTTTTCAGCACATTTTGCTTGCACGCACTATCAGTGATATTGTTCTCTAATTTGAGCATTCTTTTAGGTCACCTATCTTTGGAATGGGCACAGATATGGATGTCTTACAGTCAGTTGGCCAAGTAGCTGTCTTCCAAATTTCCTGGCATAGACAGATGAGTGCTTCCAGTTCTTCATCAGTTTGTTAAAACCTGTCAATTGTTATTCCATCAATTACTGGAGCCTTGTTTTGGGCTAACACTTTCAGTGCAGCTTGAACTTCTTCCTTCAGCACCGTTGGTTCTTGCTCATATTCTACCTCCTGAAATGGTGGAATATCAATTACTGTATATACTCGAGTGTAAGCCAACCTGAATATCAGCCGAGGCACCTAAGTTTTACCACAAAAACTGCATTAAAAATGTGCTGAAAAACTCGGCGGATACATGAGTATATATGGTAGTTCTTTTTGGTACAGTGACTGTGTATTCTTCTCTTGATGTTTCTTGCATCATTCAATATTTTGTACATAGAATCAAGATTGCAATTTGAAGCTTGAGTTTTTCTTGAGTTCTTTCCATGTAAGATGTGCTTAGGGTGGCCTTCCCTTTAAGTTTTCTAATTCTAGATCTTTGCACATTCTATTTTTATATTTGATTTTGTCTTCTCGAGTTGCCTTTTGAAACTTTATTCAATTCTTTGACTTCATCCTTTCTTGGCCCCTGAAAACCTTATTCTTGTACTGCCTCCTAAACAGATTTGTTTGGTTTTCTGGAAGTCTGATATTTTCATAAATTTTCTCCCAACACCAGAATTCAAATGTATCCTCTCTTCTTTGGTCTCTCTTACTCATTGTTCAACTTTCACTGGTGTCTGAGACCATTGAAAATACCATAGCGCCGGTCAGGTTCATCTTAGTCCTCAAAGTGACGTCTTTGCTCCTACACCCTTTAAATAGGTTTGTGTGAAGCAATTTTGCTGGATATGTGCCATTTATATGGATAAATATGCCATTTACTTTCTTGACTGCTACTTCCATGAGTGTTGATTGTAGATCCAAGTAAAATGAAATCCTTGCCAACCTCAGACATTTCTTCATGTATCATGATGTCGTCTACTGGTTCAATTGTGAAGACTTGTGATTAATCATTGGGCTGCTAACCCCAAGGTCAGCAGTTTGAAACCACCAGTTGCTTCCCGGGAGAAAAAACTGGCCTTTCTACTCCCGAAAAGAATTACAGTCTTGGAAACCCACCCTGTCCTGTAGGGTGGCTGTGGGTCACCATTGACTTGGTGGCAGTGAGTTTAGTTATTTTGAATGTTAGATGAGAAATAATCAAAAGGATATGCTCCAGAGGTAGTTTATATATATGAGAGAGAGAGACCTTTATAAACACAGATGAAGAAGAATAAAAAAGGTTCAGAGGGACAGAAAAATAAAATTATCTTAGTATTTTTAACCCAAGGAAAAGTCAACCTGGAAAAAAAATTTAAAAGTTGACCATGATCTATATTTCTTTGAGTTTCTTATTCTTTCTGCTTCAGGGGAAAAGTCTTGTAACATGTTAGATTTCAGTCACTGTAATTTAAACAAATTCATTGAGTGTCTGTATTGGCGAAGGTAATATAATTGCAGCTACAAGATTTACAGAAATGCTAATAGTTGTTGCTATCGAATCTGTTATGACTCATGGCAGCTGCACGTGATACAGAGGAGAGCTACACCAGAGGGTTACTTGGCTGTCCTTTTTTTCTGGGGTTTTGTTGGGTGGCTGGCTTCAAACCACCAACCTTTCGGCTAGCAAGCAAGCATGAACTATACCATTTATTGGGGGCCCACTATATGCCCTGGTTCTCCTAAGCTTTTTATTTATAGTGAGGGTGACAATAGGCTAATTATTATCCTCATTCAAAAACCTAGGAATGAGAGCTCTGTGAAACTGAGAAGCTTGCCCAGGATCTTAGAATTGATAACAGGGAAGCTGGAATCTAAACCCAGGTCGGTGCCATATCAAAGCACATTCTCTTCCTACACTCTACCACTATGTTTTCATGGATTTGTTGGTATGGTAGAAA